TCTAAAGCAGATAATAAATAATTTATTCTATGTCTACTTGAAAATAATTATTCCCTCAAGGATTATAAACTACGCTCCGAGACAAATGCGAAGTTATAAGATATTATTAAGTTATTAATTACATTTTCAATTTTTCAAAAAAAGGATAATCCTCCCTCATATATATATAAAATGAACTCCTCTTAATCATGATCGACTATGTTCTCGTTACTTTAAAAAAAACTCTTATTAAGAAAATAAAAAAGAGAAAGAATATTAATTAATCAAAAAGTTTCTTATATATAAGACCGCTAAAAGGAAATGAATCATTTAATTTTTATTTGTCAGGAAAAATATATATACACTGTATCTTCTATATATACATATAGAAACTTTCTTTATTTGTCTCCTCTCTCCTCTATACTTAATAATTCCTTGAAACAAGAGAAAAAGATTTTTGACATAATTTAATTTGTCTCAAATTCGTAATTTTTTAATAAATTGAATCTCCGGCCTTTGATGTCAAAAAAAAAGTAAATTTTTTTTTAATCAAACTTTGATGAGTTTGCTTTTACTCTCTTTCTTTGAAAACTCTCCACAGACAAATCGAGTAACTTCTTTGAAATTAGCCGCTATATTTTAACAAAAAAAAAAAAGAGTGAAAGAAAAAAAAAGAAAGAAATTGAATTTCAATGCTTTTATCTTAAGAAGACGGAAATTGTAATCTTTTGTGTGTGGGGAAAAAAAAAGTTGTCTCTAATTAGCTGAAAGTCTTTTGTTTAGTGTCTCATTACATTATTGCCACATTTTGTCATTTTTATCTCCTGCAATTATTTTCGTGGATTTTATATCCTCTTGAGAAGAATATAAACGTTATTCTCTTTAATTTTTATACCTCGTACATTAATTTCAAATTTGATTTTCTTTTTTTATTTATTACAAGTTCAACGGGTTATACTCTTGATTACATAAACAAAAAATTGAAAAAAGTATTAATTAATTAATTAATAATTTAATATATTAATTTTGATTAATTTTCATATTTTGAATTCTGTTATTATAAATTCTACTTTTACTTTATTAATTATTTTTTAATAATTATTTCCTATCTACTGTCATAATATCTAAAAAAAAAAAATTTTTTTTAATTTCTTTATTATTTAATTATAAATTTAAGTTTTTTTATATTTTTAATTGAATTCATTTAAAATTAAAATTTTACAAAATTTTAAATCAAAATCTTTTGAAGTTCATCTACTTATAAAAATTGTAAACGCGCAATTCTTTTAAAATTGAATTAATTTTGAATAATTGAAATAATTTTAATAATACCGAAATATTTTTTTAAATTTCAATTACATAAAATTGAAAATAAATAATTATTATTATTATTTTTTTTTTGCTGCTAGTAAGAGCTAGATACTTAAGATCCACTGAAAAGTTAGATACTTGTTATACTAGCACTTACTAGATCTTGGTGAACAGAACTACACGAGTTAATACAACTAGTGATCAAAAACTTTTGACAAAAAAAAAAAAGAAAAGAAAAAGAAAAAAAAACTTTGAAATAAAGTTTTCCGAACGTCTACTCGCACGTTTCAGTTGGCCATTCGGTTGAAACAGTCCATCAAAACTGAAACTCGTGTTTCGCTGAAGATACATATATATATATATAGATATACTTTTTCAGAATTTAACTGCAAGGATCATTTTACTGGAAAAAATGCATTTCTTCCTTTTTTTATGAATATTACATTTTGAACAGTAAAAGTGGTATGCATATATATATATATATATATATAGATGAGGGATTCACTTTAAATTTGAAGAAAATTGAATTGCCGTGAGTTGAAAGAAAAATTGCGAGAAATATAAATGTCAAATGTATTATCATTCTAGAAAAAAATTTATATTTGTCTCGTGAAGAGCCAAATTAACTGAATTTATTTTGTTTAGAATTTAGATAAATTTTTATTTAGAAAAATAAATCTATTTATTTTATTTATTTACAAAAATATTTTCTTCAAAGAATAAATATTATTTGATTAAAATAAATTTTTATCTAAAAAATAAATTGCTTTAAGTATTTTTTTATTTATGAAAATAATCATTTATTTTATTTATTTATTGATTTACAAGAATGTTTATTTAAAGAATAAATATTATTTGAATAAAATAATTTTTTATTTAAATTTCATTTATTCAAAAATTATTTAGTATTATTTAATTACAATAAATATTTTTATTTAAATAAATATATTATTAAATTGAAATTGTTGTTAGAAATAAATAAATGAAGTAAATAATCACCAAATTATTAAAATGAAATTTTTATGAAATTAAATTTATGAAAATAAATATTATTTGATTTAAATAAATTCTTTTATCAAATTCCATTTATTCAAAAATTGTTTTTTTATTATTTTTCTTGAATTATCGTTTATTGAGTATCACTTGATTATAATAAATAATCGTAATGGTTTAAATACCCTTTATAAAAATTTTTAAAAATAGAAAAATAATTCTTTTTTATTAATGTTTAATTTTTTTTATTAAATTATTATTTAAATTTGACAAAGTTTTCATAATTCTTGACTTAATTATTTCTAATTTTTATTGAATATTGAATTGAGTAATATTGCAAATTTTTAATTGACTAAGATAAAAAATAGTTTAAATTTTTTATCTCCTGGGATTTTAGTGCAACGAGAATGAGGAAAATCGTAATTACTGAAAATTAGCACAGTCTCGCGCGCCTCATGAAATCTGCTATTTCGTGTTTCCGCTCTGCCAAAGAAAATCTTACAAGAAATTCCATGTAATTATATTACCCACTCTTTTTAATGAAAAATTATGCTTAAAATTTTACTGGAGAATTTTATTAATACTTATCTACTTTTTCTAAAGAATCTTATCTATTTATTAATTTTTACTAATTAATTAACAAATAATAAGTATAAAAGGAAATTAATATTTTTTTAATTTAATATTTTTAATCACTATTTAATTTTTAATATATTTTTTGGAGTTGTTTTTTTATTTAATTAAATTTTTATTTACGAAAATGAAAATTATTTGATTCAAATAAATTTTTTTAGTTCATATTACTTATTTTGGGACCACACTGCAAAAAGAAGTATCTTATTTAAGATGTTTTGGTAGTCACTTTTAAGTTATTTGAAATATCTTAATTTAAGATGTTTAAAGTATCTTCGTACACATTTTCATCATATTTTTTTGGGAAAAAGGTTTTGAGGTTAACTATGGGCTTATATGTAAGACATTTTATGCATCTTATGCATCTTTGAATGGCCCCTTTTGAAATATTTTAAATATTTAAATTTATAAATTATAAATATAAAATTTATTATAAATAAATGAATAAATATCTAAATATTTATTACCAAATAATTTATGACTCAAATATTTATTAATTATTGAACCATTTTTTTTAAAATTTTTTTTTTAAATATTCAAAACATTGTTCCTTGACAGAGAAATTGAAATGTTTTTTAAAACAATATTAGTAATTAAAAAAAAATTCTCTGGAGTAAATTGTTATGCATAGATTTTTGACTCTTCATTTTTATTTATGACTCGTTTATCTACTGCCTTCCGGTGAAACGAAATAATAATTATTCACAAAATTGGTTTCTATATTCACATAACAATGAATCCCCATAAGAGAATTTTATGTCATCGAGTATACTGTTAAATTTAAAATTATAATTATGAAATTAGCAATAAGCGAAATATTTAAACAGTGCATTCAAAAAAATTTATTTCAAATATTTACTATATTATTTATTTTGCCTTCAGGTATTTTTCATTTTACAATTGTAAATTTTATTCCTTTTTTTTTGCTATTTTGGTTAATTTTTTTATTTAATTTTTTAATACAGTTATTTTAATTTGTATTTAATTTTTTTATTAAAATTATTTTATTTTTTATTTTTTATTAAAGTTATTCAAGTTTTTATTTAATTTTTTTCGTATAAAGATTATTTTATTTTTTGTTAAATTTTTTATTTTATTTTTTTCGTATTAAGATTATTTTATTTTTTGTTAAATTTTTTATTTTATTTCTTGTTAAATTTTTTATTTTACTTTTTGTTAAATTTTTTATTTTATTTTTTTCGCATTAAGATTATTTTATTTTTTGTTAAATTTTTTATTCAATTGAAAAATTTAATATATATAATTTGCAAAGTTATTATTTAACAAATTTTAACATGTTGCCTATAATTTTTATAAAATATTCTTTTAAAAACTTGCATTTTTAGTGAGCTTTTTCTAAATTAATTCAAAAATCAATTCAAATAACCCGCCATTAGTTCAATTTTGTCGATAAAACAGAGTATCGAACTATCGAACGACGGCCATTTTGTTCATTCCAGTCGTGACGTCACAAGTGAGAGCATTGTTCCTACTCTCACGTTTTTTGATTCGCAAATTAAAACAAAAATAAAATCAAGAATGAATCATGATGTCCTGATTTAGATTAAAAAAGGTTTGTGTTTTCTATAAATTTTTTCTGATTTCCTCAGATTTTAGATATAATTGAGAAATAATGACATGTTTCACATTGCGTCGCGTCGACCAAATAGTGAAATGTCAATTTTGCTCCGAATCTTTTATCAATCCGTGTAAATTTTACCCTGTTTCAATAGTTTAAAAGTGTTTTTCTAATAAATTCTTGCTTTAATTATTTCGATTTAAGATTATTTGATGAAAATTATTGTTAAAATTACGCTTTCCCCCTCCCCCAACAATGTAGCGCTGACTTGAGCTAAATTCTAGATTTCATTAATTAAATTTCCTTAGTTCAATTAGTTTGAAAATTATTAATATTGTAGTGCGAATTTTGACCCCCTCCCCCTAAAATTTGATAGAAACGTTATCAATTATCGATAACATATTTTTTACGAGAGTTATCGACCGTAGTTACCGATTGGTACTTAGTTCCGAGAGTCGCCGCTTGGAAGCGACACTACTAACGACGGCCATTTTGTTTCTTTCAGTCGTGACGTCAGAAGTCGCAGCATTGTATCTACTCTCAACTTTTTTGATTGTATAATAAAAGGAAAACGAAAATAAAGTCAAGAATGCATCGTACTGCTTTGGATTAAAAAAGGTTAGTGTTTTCCATAAGTTTTTTTCTGTTTTTTCAGATATTTTATCTGATTATACAGAAATAATTCGTCGATTCATTGTTTCACATTGCATCGACAAAATATTGAAAAGTCAATTAATCTCCTAATCATTAATTAATCTGTGCTGTTTTTCCATCTAATGACATGACAATTTTGTTTATTCTTGTTTAAATTATTATTTCAAGTAAATTGTGTAAATGATTTTTTCCTCTTTTTCCGTACTTAACAACAGTTATCGACCGTAGTTATCGATTTAGTAGTTAGTTCTGAAACTTGCCGCCTGGAAGCGACACTACAGTCGACGGCCATTTTGTTTCTTTCAGTAGTGACGTCAGAAGTCGCAGCATTGTGTCTGCTTTCTTTTTTTTTTATTTTGAAAACGAAAAAAAGAAAAACTAATCGTGTTGCCCTGTTTTGGATTAAAAAAGGTTAGTTTGCAGTAAGTTCTTTTTTCTTTTGTCAGATTTTTGATCTAATTACAGAAATATGCGTCGATTCATTGTTTCACATTGCATCGACAAAATATTGAAAAGTCAGTTATTCTCCTAATTATTAATAATTAATCTGTCTTATTTTTCCATCCAATAGCGAGGAAATTTTGTTTATTCTTGTTTTAATTATTTAAATTTAACATTTTAATTATTATTTAGAGTAAATTGTGTAAATGGTTTTTTCCTCTTTTTCCCCCTCCCGCCGAGTAGCAATAAATTGAGCTAAATTCTAGATTCTTTAATTTATTTTTCTAAAATCAGTGAATTTAATAATGAAAAAAAACACAAAACAATATTGATCCCCCCCCCCCCCCTCACCGCCAAGTATTTAATGATATTATCAATTCCGTACTTTACAACAGTTATCGACCGTGGTTATCGATTTAGTATTTAGTTCTGAAATTTGCCGCTTGGAAGCTACACTACAGTCGACGGCCATTTTGTTTCTATTAGTCGTGACATCAGAAGTCGCAGCATTGTGTCTGCTTTTCTTTTTTTTTATTTTGAAAACGAAAAAGAAGAAAAACAAATCCTGTTGCCCTTTCTTGGATTAAAAAAGGTTAGTTTTCCGTAAGTTCTTTTTGCTTTTCTCAGATTTTAGATCTGATTACAGAAATATGCGTCGATTCATTGTTTCACATTGCATCGACAAATGCAGACAAATGTTGAAAAGTCAATTATTCTCCTAATCGTTAATGAATCTGTGATATTTTTCCGCCCACTAGAGTGAAATTTTCGGATAATTGATTCTTTTTAGATTTGTTTCTGAATTCCAATCGTTTAAGTGGTGTTTTTTCTCTGACTCCCCCCCCCCCTTCTCCTGCGTGTCTATAATATAACTAGATAAATTCCAGGTTTTTTAATTTTATTTCCTATAAGTTTATTTAATTTACATTAAACAATCGTGATAAGAATTTTGTTTCTAGTGATTTTCCAACCACATATGTTGACAGCAACAATTACCAGTGCCGTATATATAGATATTTAGCCCCTTAACATAACCACAAAATAAAAAGAGTTTTTTTATACAAATAAATAATTATTATATTACTAAAATAATATTTAATATATTATATATATTATTTAATATATATTCAATAACAATAATATTATAATAATATTTCAATTTGACAAAAGACAATAATTCTTTATTACAATGAAATTTTTTTGATAATTTTCTTTTTAATTTAATTCTATCTAATAAAATTAAAAATTCTTTAATACTTCGGTTCCATTGATTGGGAACAAAAATTTTCAACAATTATCAGTGCCGTATGTTTAGATAGGCAACCCCTGGGCATAATTTCCAAACAAAAAGTGCTTTTAATGCAAAATAATATTTTTTTTTGATACAAATAAATAAGAATAATTTTATTATTACAATAATATTTGATAAATAGTATATTTAATATATATATTTAACAATTATAGGGGAACATAGTCTAGGTCGGCCACCTTTTTGACTTTTGTTTATAACTTTTTTTTAAAAATGAATTTGGACAATTGAAGTATATGGTTGGAAAGTCCTGTTTAATAGGAACATTTTTTCTGTACAAAGTAAATTGACAGGTTTAAAAATGAAAAAGTTATAAAGATTTAAAAAAAAAAAAATTTGTAGTCCAGGTTGGCCATTACAGTCAAGGTCGGCCATGTTTAAAATTCAAAGGGCATTAATCGTTAAAAAATAAAATAACATGTTTGGAGTTACGGAAAATTGATTCTTTATTGTTTACAGTTTGTAACTTAATGAAATAACAAAATAATAACAATAAACAATATAAAAAAATAAATATAAATAAAAAAAAGTTTTGCACTAAAATATTAATAAAATTAAATAAAAATATTAATAAGATGATCAATTATATTATGAGTTATACAGAATTGCAGTTTTTGCAAATGAAGTAGCTCGTCCTCATCTTTGCGCATTTTAAACACATAGTGGCCGACCTTGACAGTAAGTAACATTACCGAATTGTTGTAACCATAAAGAAATACGTTTCGGGATTCGATTTTTTACTTTGTTTTTCTTTCAACCATGAGTCCCACAAATTTTCTGCATACTTGCCTTGACGATTCAATTTGTTTTTTATCTTTTATTAATGGTTTTTCACATTATGCACAAAACTTTTTTTGAGCTTTTTTTGTACCGACGTCACAGAAAACACAATTTTCGATTTTCCGAAAATGTAATTGAACAAAAAGTTAGGTTACACTAAGACAAGCTTCGACAAGCATGCGCGTAGGTGGCGCTAGTGAACTTGTCCAAAAAATCGCGATGGCCTACCTAGACAGTAGACCAACCTTGACTACATTCCCCTAATATATTTCTTATTATAATAATGTTATAATAATAATTTTTTTCAATAAAATTTTTTTTCTAATTTTTCAATTTTGTTTTAAATTTAATATAATTGTAATAAAATTAAATTTTATAAATAATTCGATTCTATTGAATAGGATTTAATTTTTTTAATTAATTATTATAATTATAAACTAATTAATTAGAATTTAAATTAATAATCGTAATTTCTTGTAATTTTTCGGTAATTTTATTAATAATTTATTTTTAATTTCAATTTAATTTTAATAAAATCACAAAAATTTATCAATATTATTGCATTGAATGGGAATAAAAATATTTAAACATTATCAGTGCCGTACGTTTAGATAGTCAACCCCTGGGCATAATTTCCAAATAAAAAGTGCTTTTAATGCAAAACAATATTTTTTTGATACAAATAAACAATAATAATTACAATATTAATATTTAATAATAATTTATTATTATTGTAAATATTATTATACATTTTTTTTCTAATTTTTCAAAAATTTACATTAATTTTTTTTAAATTTAATTTAATTTTGATAAAATAAATTTTGTTAACAATTTGATTCCATTTAATGGGAATAATATTTTTCATTGAAATTAATAATTATCATTTCTTATTATTTTTCGAAAATTTTATTAATAATTTAATTTTAATTTATTTTTAATAAAATTACATTTTTTAAATAATTATATTGCATTGAATGGGAATAACAATTTTCATTCAAATTAATAATTAATAATAATTATAATTAATACACTGAACAAAATTTATTTAAACAATTAATCGGTATATGCTTCCAAAAAATCGGTTATTTGAATTAAATAAAAAATTTTCAGCGTAGTAAATAATTAACAGATTCTTTTATTTTTCATACAAAATACAAATAACTATGAAAAATTTACTCTTAATTAAAGAACCAATATCTATCTCTTAATATAAATTTTCATAAATAACCAACTTTCTTACAAGTATCAAGTCCATTCAATGTGTATCTATTGTTTTCGAAACAATTATTCTCTTTATTTTCACCTTTACAAGTATATTTTGCTTTTCTATACTTTATTATAATTTTTCTTCTTCTTTTACCGTTAAACAAAAAAACAAGATGTATAATAACATTTTTGTTTGTTTTTTTTTTTTGCAAAGGGGTATTTAATTATCTTAAAACTGATAAAATGTTATTCATATCTGACGTTGAGCCTTTCACTTTAAATGGCCTCAAGCTAAAAACCGCAACTCGTCGGATTTCCTTTTGTCCTGAAAAAACGATCTGAATAGAAAATGCTGGAATGCCAGCACGAGATCAGTTGTAAAAGCTGTTTTAAGACTGAAAATTCAACGTTATTTCTCAGCCAGAATACATTTCAATTTGTATTCAAAACACTTTTACACGAAACAATCAAAACATTTTATTGTCAAAATCTTTTACAGTCAAAAGTTTAAGTTAATTATTTATTTATATGCGTTCTTTTACACACACATAGACTTTTAATTTGTTTTTTATTTCTTAACTTTTTATTATTTTTCATTAAGTTGAAATATTTTTATTTTTTCACTACAATTAGTGCCTGTTCTTATTTATTTTTCTTACTTTTTCTTACTTTTTTACTTCTTTTTTATCATTTTTTGTTTACTATTTTTCTTATTATTTTTACTATTTTTTTATTATATTTCTTTCTTTTAATTACATACGTAAAAACATAAACAATTAAAATATTGATTTTTAATTGCCAATATTTGAAATTTAAATGACCAAACGTAACGTCATTGGATTATATTCTAAATGAGCTAAAATAATAAACATCCGGCGTAATAATCTTTCAAATTTTGAAATATTGATTTAATAATAAATTAATATATTAATTTATTATAATTATTAATAGTTAGTAAATAATAATTATAAAATAAAGTAATAACGAGTAAAAAAATAATTATCAATTAGTAAATAATAAGTAAATAAATATTATAATTACAAAGTAATAAAATTATTAATAAATAACACAAATAATAATTAATTATTTACTTCAAACTTATTCAAGTTTATAAAATAAAAGAATAAAGAAAAATATTTCTTATCATTTTTTGCAAAGGAAATTTAATTAATGATGATTTAAAATTAAAAAATTCAATTTCTATAAATTTTGTAAGAACAGCGATACA